AGGGTCGGTTTGGTTTTTGGTTTTGTTATTTTTGGGGGGGTTTTGTGTTTTGTTTCTGGAATTGTGGGTTTTTTGTAGTGTTTGTTTGTTTGTTTGTTTGTTTGTTTGTTTGTTTAGTTTGTTGGGAGGGGGAGTGAAGTACAAGAATCAAAGGACACAAGCCTTGCTTGCGATAATAGCAGTAAGCAAATGGTATCCTTTATGATCCTCACCTTCTGCAAATGTGCCTGCAGCTTGTTTCTGGCATCGGTGGTCTCCCTGACTCGCGTGTTGAACGAGTTGTTCACGGCGTTGAAGTTGTTCCACATGTCGTTGGCGCACTGGCGGAGGGTGGAGTCGATCTCTCCTCGCAGCCGCTCGCTGGACGCACGTTCCTTCTGGGAGCGGGCAATGTTCTCCTGGGTGTAGCGGGCCCACGACTCTGGGATAGTGATGCTGTGGGGGGTTCAATTTTGTTTTTAGTTTTGTGTGAGAGTGTTACGGTACTTGCAACACAAATAGGACCTATATAAGTGTCGAAGATTAAAGGTGTTACTAGATAGTAATATAAAATGAAAAAGAGGAGGAGAAGTAAGGATGATAAGTGTTTGATAGAAAAATGGGGCAAGTCACAACAGACTGCCTCCCAACAACCCACTGTGGGGGGGGGGGGGGGAGTGGATACGATTACGACGACAGGAGTGACTTATACTTGGATAAAAGTGTGGTACATATGCAGAAGAATGGATTCGCGTGAATATCTCAGCGTTAAAATGTGTGGTTTACTTTGGACTGCACGTCCCCATTTAACACTGTTAGATTATTTGCCAGGCACAAGCGAAAAAAGAACCTTGAAAGCTCGACCAAAAATAAAATGTCCACACTTCTCTCAGAGATTCAAGTCAAGTTAAGTAAAGCTTTAAATTCTTACAAAGATAAAATAATACTGAATGAGTAGTGTATTAGTTCATGGTTTAATGTATTAGTGCATGTCTTTGTTTCACTAAGCATTTTACTGCATTTACAATAGGATAAGGTCATATAAGTGCCGAAGATTTAAGGTGTATAAAGAGAGTAACAAACACAGAAAAGAAGAAGAGATACGGGCAATGATGCACGTTTGATAGGAAAAAAAGAGCGAACCACACCAGAGCACCCGCCAACCACCCACATGCTCAATAATATCTCGACTGTCCGGCGGCGCGCTTTTCCCTTTTGTCAATCCGCAGCCACATACAGAACCGTCAGCCACATCCCAACCTTTGACACGGGTCAAACTTCAATCTATTTATAGGTAGTTAGATCTACCGGAACATGTATTAGGCGAAGTGATGTGCAATGATAGTTGCAATAGAGAGATTGTTTTGGTCTCTCTTTACTCATCTGCACCACACGAATTTGTTGATGTTTTTCCCTTTACTAAAGTCTCGAATCTAGATCTAGTTGTAACCTAGTTGCAGGTTGCAGATTTGATAAATTGCCGACAGAGAGAGAGAGAGAGAGAGAGAGAGAGAGAGAGAGAGAGAGAGAGAGAGAGAAAGAGAGAAAGAGAGAGAGAGAGAGAGAGAGAGAGGGGGGGGGGCAGGAGTAGATCTTGCGAGAACTTCCGGGCAAAACAAAATGGCGACCCGCGTTGTTCGGCTCGATTCGAAAAGTGAAATAGCTATAGCATCTTTGTAGACGATCAAATTAGCTTACTTTTGAGCTATAACGTCATTTTTTCTTTGCTTTTGTCAATTGGATCATCCACACCGATAGAAAGTATTCCGAAATTAGGAAAATCGGGTCTTGTTTCACACTGGGTGAGAATAGCCATCGCTGGTAAGTCTCACCCGGGGTGAGAGGTCGATCGTAAGGTATTTTTATTCTCACCCCGGGTGAGGATAGCCACTCCCTGACTTAGATGATTAGGTGATTAAAAAAGATCTCTTATTGACAATATAAAGGTCAATTTAAGCTTCATTTCGTTAGAAAAATGTGTTAGGTTTGCTAACTTCTTAGACTTTGTGTTGAACAACACAAAACGAATCCTTACAAGCCTGGGCTTGGCCTTTGTAATCTCGAAGGTTTAGAAGTAGAAGAGTCTACTACCAGAGTCTAGAGTCTAGTCCAATTTATTTAATCTCTTTAATGTACTGGATAACAGAAATCTGCAACCTGCAACTAGATTACAACTCTAGATCTATATCTAGATTGGAGATTTTAGTAAAGGCAGAGTCCAGGGAAAAACATCAACAAAATCGCGTGGTGATGAGTAAAGAGAGACCAAAACAATCTCAATATATCGCAACTATCACGGAACATCACTTCGCCAAATACATGTTCCGGTAACTACCTATAAATAGATTGAAGTTTGACCCGTGTCAAATGTTGGGATGAGGCTGACGATTCGGGATGTGGCTGTGGGTTGACGAAAGGGAAAAGCGCTCCGGCAGCACTCACGTGTTGTCGATGTTCTCGATGCCCGGGATGTAGCCAACGCCGGCGGAAGAGTTACGCAGCTGCTGCATGCGGTCATCCAGGCCCTGGGCGTGGTGCTTGTCTTTGGCGTCGATCTCCAGAGCATGCTGGGCTGCGCGGTCCATCCTGGAAGGGAACGGAAAAGACAGGGTGTTTCGTATAATTTCTTTTAGTGCCACTTGCAACACAAACAGGTCACATAAGTGTCAAAGATTAGAGGCCTTACTTGAGTGTACATACAAAGAAAAGAAGAAGGAGGAGAATGTTAAGAACATGAGACGTTTGATGGGAAAGAAGGAGCAAACAATACCAGAGCACCGCCAAACGATTTGGGAAAGGAATAGGGATGAATAAGGGGGGGGGGAGATCACGAAATTAGATTAAACTGGGGACAATGAGATGGGATGAAAAACTCTTAACGCCTGTACAATTCTCTACACGTGCCCACAGAATTTTCAAGGCAGGCAACTTTTCAAGAATTTCGCAGACGATAAGTTTTGATGTCTCAGCAGCAAGAAAATAAGAAGGGAATCAGCAAGGGTGTGTTTTTAGCATTAAGAAAATCATGGATTGTGTCCCTTGTGGGTTAGCAAAAAGTCCGTATTTTTAGATGTATAATATAGAATCTAGTTCTGAGAAAATAAAAACAAGTGACAGGCAGATTCATTGATAAAAACACAGAGAGGCTATCAAAACAAACAAATGGACAAATATACAAGCTAACGAACAAGACTGAGAGATGAACACTGTTTAGTTTTAGTAGAGGTTTTACGGCGCTCGCAACTGCATAAGTTCATATAAGATTAGAGGTGTTACAAGAGAGTAACAAACATAAAAAAAGAAGGAGAGATAAGGACGATAGATGTTTGATAGGAAAGAAGAAGCAAACCACATCCGAGCACCCGCTAACCACCCACTGTAAATTATGAATAACAGTAAACTGACTGCTAAAAAAAATAAGGTAATATAGAGATAAATAATATACAAGTGGTTGTGGCGGTTGTTACGTGTTGTTGTGTTTGTTATTGTTATGTTTTCTTATTGTTTTGAACGAAACGCTTGCAATTTAATAGTCACAATTCACCAGATATATAACTCTGATAAGAATACTGACAAGAAGGAGTAGCACAAGTACCACATGCACTGTTGATTTACTGACTGACACAAACAGACATCATGACAGAAATGCACCGAGAGAGAGAGAGCAATAAAGCTTGGGTCAAGTGCTTACTTCAGCTGAACGTAAGCCTTATCCAGGACTTTCTTCATCTTGGCTTGGCACTTCTTGATCACATCAACTTCCTATAGACAGAAAGTAATCACGCTCAGGTGAGTGAGATATCATAGCCTCCCTGAATGACAGCAATGTGCATAAACAGAAACCTTTGACCCTCCTATGTTTCTAGTTTGTTTTGTATTGCTTTTATTGTTTTAAGATCTCTTGCTATTCGGCTTTTCCGGGGTTTTTTCGTCTGCACCTTTGTTCATTTTTTCATTACTCTGTTTCATCTTCTGTCTCCTACTCCCACTCCTCTTCCTTTTCCTCCTCATCCTTTTCCTCCTCATCCTCTTCGTCCTCCTCTTCGTCCTCCTCTTCCTCCTCCTCCTCATCCTCATCATCATCATCATCATCATCATCATCATCATCATCATCATCATCATCATCATCATCATCAAGTTACTGCAAAGAGGCACCTCTTCTCGCCAATCAATGGCAATTCGAAATGAGTCATTTGGACGAGTGGAGGTGCCGCTAAGCATATTGACAATGGAGCCGAAAAAGAGCCTCGCTCTCGCTCGAAGATTTTTTCGTGGAGTCCGCCAGACCCATTAAGGAAACAAAAAATAAATATCATCATCATCATCATCATCATCATCATCATCATCATCATCATCATCATCATCATCATCATTATCATCATGTACCTTGATGAGAGACTTCTCCACGTCGTCGTTCACGAGGTCAATACCCTGCCTCTTCTCACGGTTCATGAGACACTCCTCAGCAA